AAAAGAGGAGGATCAAGGAGGTTGGGGGAGTGAACACCAAGTCTTGTTCAAGTTTACCTGCTGTTGTCCCATGTCACACTGGACCTTGCCCACAGCAGACCCCTACTGTGCACGGGGAGGTGATGGCGCCTTCCAATAAACTGACCTGTGCGCCTGGAAGTTACTCCCACTTCCACTCTGCTCAATGACAAAACTGTGCAAAAGTGAGTCCAAATATGTGGCAAGTGTTTCATCCTTCACGCCCCAAACCGACCTGCTGCTTTCCAACGTCCAGGGTCTGCAGCTTGCTGCCCAAGGAGATATTCCCAAAGCTGGGCAGGCTCTTCCTGAGCCAGAAGTACAGAGAGCTGGGAAAGCGCTCACCAATGAAGCAAAGTGGAGTATAAATACCCCGCTCCCTTGCTCTTGAGTGGAGACTGAGCCGTGTGTATTGCACTGTTTCCCAGAGTCTTCTGGTGACTTTAATCCCAGTCACCAGCCCTGCACCCTGGAAAGTGACTTGATTCTGTCCCCGTGGTTGGCATCGTCCCCTTCTGTTCTACTTCTCTGCTTCCCTACTGAAGTTCCTGCTTTATCCAAATCAACTCTTGGATTTCCAGTCCTTACCTAGGGTCTGCGCCTGGGGCAACCTCACCCAAGCAGATCACCATGCTCTCTGTGTACCTCTCCCTGTTGTCTCCATCCTGCTTCCTGAGGTAGGTTCCTTTGGGCGTTCACAGATTTCACTACGATCCTCTAAGGTAGATGGTCTCTTTCACTGAATAGTGAGCTCATTTTCTAGAAATGGGTCGTCACCTTTGCATCACTAGCATTTTTGCTGTTCTGTTACTTGTGTTCTATTAGGTACGGCTGGCTGCAGGGAGCTTCTGCATAGGTAGAAGAGGAATGAAGAGACAAGTGTGTAAGGGTAGTGATGAGCCATGAACCACCTGAAGTAGCCGCTGGCCACGTATGGCTATTTCAAGTTAAACCCAAAGCAATTGAAGTTGAATGCGATTTTAAAAATTCACTTCCTCTCAGTCACATAGTCTACATTTCAATCGGCCAACAGTTGCATGGGGCTCATAGTGACCCTCTTGGACAAGGCAGTTATAGAACATTTCTATCATTGCAGATAGTTCCACTGACAGAGCTGGGCTAGGGAGCAACATGGAGCACACTGAATTCATGCTTTGATGGTTTGCAGTTTTGAGTGGGCCTCAAAGCTCCTAAAGGTTTCTGGGGTAAGGCAAGTAGAAGCAAGCACCTGTACCCAGCAACTGTGGTTACCTGAGAGCAGACACAACTTCACGAGCCAAGGGAGAACCAGTGACATAGAGTTAAGTTTTTTGAATGATGTTTTATTTACATTTCAACTGAACCACAAAAAAAGAGAGAAAAGGTGCTTCCAAGTTTCCTAGCCACGGTGAGATTCACGTTGCACGGTCTAGAGTGTTTCAAAGTTCACATCCTGTATTACCCAGTAGAGTTTTCAGGTGAGCACCATGGTGAGAAAGGTGGAGGCCCCTTACCAGAGGCCCAGGAGGGATGGAATGGCTGGCCAGGGACAGCTACACCCCGACCCCAAGCACTTGGATAGGAAGTGAGAAAAAAAACGTTTTCTGGCCTTCACACGGAAGTGTCTCCCATTTTGGTTAAAACGAGGCATTGGCAGAACCCTGGCAATGGAGAGCAAGATCAGTGGGCAAATCAACGTGACGGTGAGCTCTGGAGGGCGGGTCCGTGATGTGCTTGATTTTGTTTGCTCAGGACTTAGCTGAGAACATGGTGGGTGCTCAGCCAATGTTTACTGGATGAAGGAGAGAATGAGGGAATGGTCAGAGATGAGTGGATGAGCAAGCGACTCCCCAGGACCCCCTGGTCAGCAATGGGTCATCGTCTGCTTTCAGCCATGGGAGGTGATGCTTGGAATTGTCCTCTGTTCCTCTCCCCCTCCTGTTTTACAATCTGTTTTATGGACTGAGCTCCCGGCTCCCAATATTTTAAGATGATCAGAGTTTGGTTGGGCTTCAGAGATCTTAGAAATGATCTAATCTAACTCCTCTATGGTATCAATAAAGAAATCTTAGCCAAACAAGGATGAATAATGTGTACCACGTCAAAGGGTGAATTCATGGCAAGAAGTTTCTCATGTCCTTTGGCTGATGGTTTGGGTGCCCACATCTGAACATCTGAATAAGAGCTTAGCCTTTTGTTTTAAAAATATAATTCTAAGGTTTATTGTTGTTATTATTATTTTGAACAGGTAACGTGTTTCCATGGCTCAAAATCCAAAAGGTGGGTTGGAGATGTGGCTCAGTGGCAGAGTGCTTGCCTGGGATGTGTGAGCCTTGGGTTCCATCCCCAGCACTGAAAAAATTTAAAAAATCCAGAAGGCCACACTCTTTTTCCTGCTCTCCAGCCACTCAGAGCCCCTAAAGACAACCACTGGTGCTGGTTTCTTTTGTCTTATAGTGTCCCCTACAGGTGCTCGTGTTAAAGGCTTTGTCTCCAGGATTGCACCATCAGGAGATCCTGGGGTCTTCAGGAGATTGTGCCTAGTGGCAGTCTTTAGTCATCTAGGACATGCCCCCAGAAGGGACTGTGAGATTCCAGTCTATCCGCTCTGTTCAGCTCCCTGGCTGGTAACATAATGGTCTGCTCCAACATGCATTTCCTATTGTTGCTATCTACTGCCCTCACTAGAGGCCCAAAGTTATGGGGCCAGTGGATCTTGAACTAGAACCTCCAGAGCCATGAATTAAATAAACCTTTTCTCTTTATAAGTTAATTACCTCAGGTGTTTCATTGTAATAATGAACGTTGACTGTTACACATATTTTGCCCTTTGATTTTTTTTTTCTATCAACCATACATGATGCCTAGGGCTTTGACTCTTTCTTCATGCTGTCTCTTGGCCACTTCATCTCTGGGTGCTTCTGGCACCTCTCATCAGCCACTAACGTTCCTCGTCTCTACACTCATGCTCACCTGCTAACTTTTCCTCTCTGGGTGGTTCTGAAGCCTCCATGCTCTGTTTCCAGATTCATCTCCATAATGCATGACATTGATTATTTTATTTCCCTGCTCAAAACCCCTTAAAAAGTTCAAGGTCCTCTACCTGAAATTCATGGCCCATTCCAACTTGTTCATTCCACCCTATTTTCTATAAATATGTGCTTTCCTCCTCGCCTTTTTTTTTTTTTAGAATTTTTTAATATTTATTTTTTTAGTTCTCGGTGGACACAACATCTTTGTTGGTATGTGGTGCTGAGGATCGAACCCGGGCCGCACGCATGCCAGGCGAGTGCGCTACCGCTTGAGCCACATCCCCAGCCCCCCTCCTCACCTTTGAACTGGGCATTCCCTTGGTTTCAAATGTCTGTCCCCAAATCCTTTACTTTCCAAATCCTTTACTGTCTATTCTTCAGACTCCTGGTCAGAAGCCACTTCCTCCGTGGAGTCCTCCCTCACCTGAAATGGCTTTTCCCTTCTCAGCTCCAGGCACAGCATCAAGTGCCTGCCTCTTTATACTGGAGTTATTGGTTTTGGTCTTGTACCTCCCACTAGACTGAAGTTTTCATGGGGGCAGGGATTGTGTCTATCTTATGCATCCTTCGCTTAACGGCAGTGAGTGTGCATCCTGTCCCTGACCCTGACAGCTGTTGGATGAACAGCTGGTGGGTTCCTGACACCTTCTTATACATTGTCTCTACTGAGGGGCACAAATTAAGCAGAAGCTTCAAACTTACTTCCCCCAAGAAGCCATAAACAGGGAGAAAGAAAGTCCTCGTTCCTGGGTCATTCCTACTTTTTAAAAAAAAATATGTTTACGTCATAAGTTGCATTTTTTATCTTTTTAGGATGCAGTTCATGCAAGTCCTACCCATCTTAGAAACTCCTGCATCTTCTAGTACAGGGTGCTCGATAGGGGTATTCTAGCCAAGCTCATCTTCCCAAAACCAGTGGACTAGATATTCCTACTGAGTCGGTTGGTTTCTGATGGACTGACTTTGTTCATAGTCTTCTCAGAGGGCAACTATCTTTAGCAGAGATCCATTGAAAGGGTCTTTTACATTTTTCCTCTGACAACTGCGAGATCCTGAGTTTCCAGAAGAAGGCGGAAGTGCATCTAAGAGCATGTTAGTTAGTGCAGTTGTTCTAAAAGTGTGATCCCAGGAAAAGCAGCGTTGGCAACGCTGGGGAACTCGCATTTGTGGCAAATTTTCTGGTCTCACTCCAGACCCGTTTTGAAACTCTGGGGTGGGATTAGACCAGCCCAGTGCTTCTAATGACACATTTGAGAACCAGTGACTTCAGTGAGTCCCTTTGAGCTGATAGCCTCCACTCCACACTGGGGCTTCTTCTCACGTATAGAAGACCCTTACTTGATAGTGTGAATTGGGCAGAGGCAGAGTGCACCTTTTAGGGCTCTGTGAGCCACACAAGAGACATGAAGTCATTTGGTGTGAACAGGAAACCAACCAACTATTAAGAATATTTAGAACAGCCATGGCATCGTGCCGTTATGTTGCTTGAGAGTATTTATCCATATAGCAAAAAAGAAAAAAAAAAAAGAAGAAGGCAAAACCCTTTTACCAAGCAAAGAAAGAATTCTGTTTAGGCATATGAGAAAATAAAGTAATTGACTTAATGCATTTTTGTGAAAGAATTCATTTCTGTCCGTAAGTGGCTGAAGTTACGTTTTAAAATATAAGAAGTTTTACCTGTTTGTGGCTGTGTATATTATCTAATATCCAAACTTAGGTAAGTCTTTAGAGAATCAGGCAAATCTGTGGTTTTTATGGTTTTCAGTGGGTAAACCGTCCAGCCCTTGGCCTCTGATAATGACCTTGGGTGTAAGCACAACATTGCCCGCATTGCGTATGTTTCAAGATCTTCAAGAGCTTTGCTATTGTGCTGAAAGTTCAAAGACCTGTCCCAGAGTTCAGTGTTGTTGACCCAGTGTGTTAGCTTCACCTGCCTAGTCCGGCTTCGACAGGCAGTTTTCTGCACCAGATCTAAAACACCACAGACAGTTCCGGCTCCCCAGTAGATGGGGAGACAGAACTGCTTCTTTCCAGTTTCTCAGTAGGAAGGAATGGGATGTATTTGCCCAGGTAGATGGCCACGTGCCTGTGGAAGAAGTGGCGTAGGTATTTCTGAAACCTCTCGCCCACGAAGGCGTAGATGACAGGGTTGACGCAGCAGTGGGTATAGGCGATCACCTCCGTCACCTGCATGGCCAGGTCCAGATGTCTACTGCGCTCACAGCTGTACTCCAGTAAGTTCATTTGAAAAACAGAGAGAAGGAGAACCAGGTTGTAGGGGGTCCAGAAAATGAAAAAGACCACCATGATGATAAAAATGAGCCGGATGGCCTTGTACTTTTTTCTGTTGGGGCATCTCAGCAGTGTTTTGATGATCCCAGAGTAGCAGAAGGCCATGATGAGCAGAGGGAGCGCCAGACCCAAGATGTTCATCCTCAGAGCATGGAAACGCTTCCAGCTGTCTTCCTCGTCCTCTGGGTAGAGAGGACTGCAGACAGACTCTTCGGAGCCCTGTTGGGACTCTTGAAAGATAAATTCGGGGAGGGCCGCCAGCACTGCCAGGACCCAGGTGAAGATGCTGCTGCTGACACCGAAAGTCACCGTCCGGGCTCGAAGGGCAAACACGGCGTGGACGATGGCCAGGTACCTGTCGATGGTCAGCAGGATGATGAAAAAGATCTCGCTGTACAAGCCCAGGTAATAAAACCCCGAGAGGAGCTTGCACATGACAGGACCAAAAACCCACTCGTTCCACCCAACGTAGTGGATCCAGAAGGGAAGAGTGAAGAGAAAGAGCAAGTCAGAAATCGCCAGGTTGAGCAGATAGATGTTGGTCATGACCTTGAGCCTCCGGTACTTGGTGAGGATCAGCACCACCACCACGTTGCCCAGGAGCCCCACCATGAGCACCAGGGAGTACAGCGGGGGCAGAAACCGCGACCCCAGCTCCTTGATATTGACTTTTTCACAGGGCGGCGCCCAGTCATAGTCGTAGGGTGTGGTTCCAACTGCCTCCAGAGCAAGCTCGGTCTCCGGGAAGGAGGTAGCCATTCTGCTCGCCCCTGTAAGAGAAGAAAAGACAGTCCCACAGTTAGGCACGGGCCAAAGCACACCAGGTGATGATGTGCTTACCCAGAGGGGGCGTGGTGAGCTGCCAGCCCATTTTAAAGGTTCTTTTGTACAGATTTCTAATGACAAGTCAGAAACGCTGAGGGTAGAGGGGGTTTGGCGTCCGGAAGATCTGCAGTTTTTAAAGTCAGCATGATCCTTGATGGGAAAAGAAACAGAAATGTTGCAGGATGGGGCTGAAGAATGGGGGATATTGAGTTCTGAAAGCTTTTCAAGAAGAAAGTTCAAAATAGAAAAACAAGTTGGAGAACGATAATAATAATTGTTATCACCACAAACTGTTATGTTGTTTTGGTACTGGGATTGATTCCAGGGGGTCTTACCACTGGGGCAGAGCTCCAGTCCTTATTATTTTTTGTTTTGAGACAGAGTCTCACTAAGTTGCTTAGGGTCTCACTGAGTTGCTGAGGCTGGCCTTGAACTTGTAATCCTCCCCCCTCAGCCTCCTGAGTCACTGGGATTACAGGTATGAGCCACCATTCCTGCCTACAACTGCATATTTTAAAACATTTTGCATTTTATGTCTTATAGTTTAAATGTGACTATCAAAATCATTATCTTCATGTTTTAAAACAAAATGTTGATGACAATAGTAGTAATAATAATTATTATTACAAATAACCAGACCTTCCAAGGCCCTATAATGATGTGCAACATGTTCCTCGCAACTAATGGAAAAACTCAAACTTGAAGAAAGTTAGTGATTTATTCAAAATCCTCTAACAAGTAAATGTAAAAGTTTGGGTTGGATCTTCAGTTTCTAGCCATGTCCAGTTCTGTCATGACTAGATTTAAATGCAAGGATTTTAAAATTTAACTTTTATTGATTTAGCTATTGTAATTATTAATAACAATTGAAATTATTGCCATGTTCGGCAGCATTAACCTCAGTTGCTTTCTTCCTCCTGCTCTTAGTAATGCTGAGTTAAGCAGAAATGTGCTGTATTAGTCAGGGTTTTCCAGAGGAACAGAACCAACAGGCGGTATGGTTATAAAAAGGGGATTTATTAGATTGGCTTAAAAAACAGAAGCTGGATAGTCCACAATGGCCATCTTCAGGCTGGAGAGCTGGAGGAACCAGTCGCTGGGCAGTCCAGAGGCTGAAGCTTCAGAACAAGAGCGATCAGTGATGCTATCCCAGTCCAGGACCGAAGGCTCCTGGAAACTCCCTGGAGAATCACTGGCAGAGTCCACCTTGGAAGAGTGAAGGAGCTGGAGTCTGATGTCCTCAGGTGATCGAAGCAGCAAACAAGAATGTGTTTAGGAGAATCTAGCTTGCATCTGCTGCTGCTTCCTAGTTCTTGCAACTTTTATTCCATCTAAGCCTCCACCCTACTGAATGGTGCTGCCCATGCTTAGGGAGCATCTCCACTTCCCTTGGCTATTCCACATGCCTAGACACACCCTCATGGACATACCCAGAAGCCTCTTAATCTTCGGCATCTCTTAATCCAATCAAGTCGACAATTTAAATTGACCTTTGATATGTGAGCAGCTTCTTCACCAAGAAGATGAACAGGAGGGGTTGGTCAAAGGAATTTCTTATTCAACTTATTTTTATAGATCAGGAACTGTAGAACCAGTGCCTGTTTTTCTTTTCTTTTTTAATGTAGTTTTTATTTATTTATCTTATTAGAGATGAATGGTGATACATAGTTGTTGGGTTCATCCAGACCAAACTCATATGCATGGAAATAGGTTTCAGTTCGTGATCACCCTTTTCCCCTCCCTTGGGTCCCTCCCACCCTCCACATCCTGCCCTTGCCTGTTTTTCTTAGGACTTCCCTGGAGAAAGAGGAAAATGAGATGAGGCAGGAGTCTGGTGAAGTACAACTGGTCTATGTGCTGCTTGCTCAAGGGAGGAAGGGCTTCCCTTTCTCAGGGAAGGGACACACGTAAGTTAATGAGTGTTCTTAAAAATAAGTTTTACAAGTGGCAAGGAATTGTCTTTGCTTCTCAATAGAATCCTAAAACCTAGGAGTCTTCAAAGGAGATCTCTGTGTGTGTGTGTGTGTGTGTGTGTGTGTGTGTGTGTGTGTATTTGAGAGTTAACCCTTGGACAACTGGCCTCAGAATAAGGACAGAAGAAAGAAAAATAAAGGGCATAAACTTCAGTTTATGAGCTCCAAAAAAAAAAAGACTTAGACTGAAGGAAGAGCCCAAACATAATTATTTCAGCAAAGGAGCACACGAAATATCTTTATCAGAGCAGAGTGTAAATTTGGATCAGATTAGAGCCAGCTCAGACATTTAAAGAAGGTTGAGGCCTAAATGCTTTTAAGGAAAAGAAAATTTGTCACTGATGGGATCCCTCCATTTTTTCCTACTTATGCCCAGCTGGAGAGCAGGATAAAACCCACTGGAAGTAGGGTGTTCCCTGATATTCCCAGCTCTGTCAGGCTCTCTTATCAGGCATTTGCACAAAATGACAGAGCTGAACCTGCAGCTTGAGGCAATGCATGTATTGTCCCAGGGCAGAATACAGATCTCTCTAGTGTCCATAGAAGGTCCAGGATCTGCCATCTGCTAGCTGCATGATGGCAGGTATATTATGAAGCAGGGCTAGTGGCACTTGTGCAGCAGGAACGGGATGTTCCATCTCTATGTGTAATTCTCTTCCATGCCTCCTGCCTCTGCACTGTCCCATTCACTCTCCCCGAGATCCCTGCCCAGGGCATCCCACCCAATCCGTTTCCCAGCCAGCAGATGGCGGCTCTCAGCCAGTGACCGCTTCGTCAGACCCTGGTGCTTTCCCTTGTCAGAAGGGCCAGCCTCATTTCCTCACCTGTGAAATAGGAATAAAGGACATCTCAGAGGAAAAAGAAAAGGTCCAGGACCTGGTCTAGTCAGCCTTTCCAGATCCCTTCCCTCTTCTCTCTCTCCTGTTCTCTAGCATTAGGGAGGAACTTGGCAGAGTCCCAGAGCACAAGACTAGAGAAAACAACCATTTATTTTAAAGTGAAAATTTTTTCTCTGGTTTCAAATTAATTTGGGCACCTGATCCTGTAGCTCTTTATCTAGTGATCCCCTTTTAAAGTTCTTTACCATACAATATAAGGGTGATCTTAACTCTGTTATCCATTTCCTCCCCCTAAAAGTTGACCATCACACAGGAAAAGGGAAGGGGATGGGGTGAGCAATGGCTTTGTCCGTCTCGAGCCATTCTCCTGATGGAGATATTTCAGGCACCTCTTAGCCTTGGCAGCTCAGTGAACAAACCCCACCTGGACCAGGCGCGTAGACCTTGCAGGGAGGATTGCCAAGGAACTGCAGATTTGGACTCTGCCCTGGCTTTGGGCTCAGCCCATCTCACTCAGCCACCATTCACACAGTGTCTCCAGCCTGCCACTCAGTCCCTTAGAGTTGCAGTTTCCTCTCCTGCAATCAAGACTACTATGGCAACTCTGGGAGGTGATCAGTCTCTCCCTCTGCCACTTCAGGGCAGGTCTACCTCTTGAACCTGGATTCCTACCTGTCCAATGAGCATTGGTTCCTGCACTGATTTCTGAGCCTTACTGGGCTCCTCTGTGCTCCCAGGCTTCTCGCTCCAGCCTGCTGGAAGGGCTTGTCTCCTGTGGATTTATCAGTCCACTGGCACCAGACAAGGTCACCTCTCTGTGTCCAGGGCCCATCTCCAGTGTCTCCGGATCGCAAGCCCCTGAGAAAAGTTGAGGGATTCCGGGACAGAGGCACATGACACCAGAGCTATCAGCAGGAAGCAGTGTTTCTTAGTACCCGCACTGGCTCAGCAGATTCTCTTCCAAAGGCTGAGCCCTATGTGCAGGGGGTATAGCCTCATAGACTTTTGTCAGTTTCCTTTTGCATACTAGTGATTTGTCTCCCATTCAAGGGGATACCCATTTCTGGTTGGGCATTCTAGTTTCTATACGATGGTGTAGCATCAATGTTACAACTGAGTTGTGGAAGGCTCATATCTACACTGACTACACCATGTTATCTTGTTTTGAGAAAATCTCTCACAAGAGAGCTAGCATAAGGACATGAAATGAAATCATGTATTTAAAATCACATTTTTGAACTTGAAAAAGCCGTAAATCATGTAGGAAGCAGGAGTGGAAGAAAGGTCATGAGAAGCCATTTCTGGCGAAATTGGGAAGAAGCAGGAACCCCTGTTGATCTATTTTCATGGCTCTGCCCAGATAAATCTTCTTCCCATCAGTGACACATTCCTGGCTTTGGGAGCCCAAAGTGGAATTGAGGAACAATTGATATTAAGTCCAACAGCGTTCTTATTTCTAGCTGCTGAGGAAAAAACTCCCCATCGTTTTGTCTGTTTTGCACTTAAAATCACCCCAAGTGTCCTCTAAAAGTTCTGCATCTAAAACAAGAAGGAACAGAGCAGTTTCTTCAGAGGGCAAATACAGAGAGCTTCCACACACCATTCGTTATTTGTAGTACTTTTCTTTTCTCTCAGAGTAACTTAGAAACAAGCCAAACTTTAAAGGAAAATTCATTCAAGTGTGCTCAATTGGAGATAGTGTCTTTAATTCATATGATCAACATGACCAGTACGACGAGTGCATAGGATCTTTTGATTGAGGCTTCAGGGCTGCCCATGAACTTCAGCTCTTAAGGCTCAAGACATGCAGGCGCCTCCCATCCACAGCCTGGGCTTTGACTCCTCTTGTTTCGTGGGTTCAGAGATGTAAGAGCTAACACGGCTGTCATGGGTCTAACCTGACTCAATTGCATAATACTTAGGTTCAAGATAGTCAAGAGTTTGAGTTGGGATTTTCAAAAAGGCCTTTTGCATTTTTGGGGAAGTGATAGGGTAATAGCAAACAAACAATCTGAATGCAAGCACAAAAGCAAAGTAAAAACTACCCCAAATCTCATCATGTAGTTTACCACCATTAACGTCTCTCTGTGCAGATACGCATACATTATACAAGACTGACCAG